GCTTTTTAATAGTTGTAAATTAGTTGATTTGTGGAAGAGAGTGATGCTGGGGAATGTCTATTCTGCCATCTTGATTGGAAGCCTCAGTTTTTTGCAATTAAAATATGTGTTCTTGTGTGTGTGTTTTTCTCTTTGTGTTCATCATACCTGGGGTTGGTTCAGCTTTGTGGATCTGAATTTAGTTTTTATCAAATTTAAAACATTTTGGCCATTATTTCTTCAACATTGTTTTGTTTTCTTCACCTCGTTTTTCTTGGGACTGCAATTATACATGTTAGATCACTTGCTATTATCCTATGGGTCATTACAGCTCTGTTCATTTTTTTTCCATCTTCTTTCTGTGCTTCAGTTTTTAAGTTTCTACTGCTGTATCTTCAAATTCATTGCTTTTATCTGCAGTCTCTAATCTACTGTTAATCCCATCCAGTGAATTTTTCATTTCAGCTATTTCTCATCTCTAGAAATTGTTTTTAAAAATATCTTCTATTTCCTTCCTAATATATTTACATGTTCCTTTAAATATTTCCACGTATTTATAATAGCTCTTTAGTGTCTTTGTTAATTACTTCATCTCTATTTTGGAATAGCTTCTATTGACTGAGTTTTAGTCTCTGTTATGAGTCATATTTTTCTATTTCTTCACAGGTCTATTAATCTGAGTACTAAACAACTATGAAGGTTACTTTATTCAGAGTTTGGCTACTGTTATCTTCTTTTAATGAATGTTGGACTTTATTTTTGTATACAATTAAATTATCTGTGGATCAGTTTGACTCCTTCGAAAACTGTTTTTAAACTCTGCTGGAGTGAGTCTACAGTTGTGCTCATTTGAGAAGCAGTTTAGTCTTATTACTAAAGAATAACACTTTTGGGGTCTTCAATGAAAGCACTGGGTTATCACACAGGACTCTACTCTGGCTGGCTAGAACCTGTATGTCTCCACACGCTATATGAATTCTGAGAATTGTTCTTCTGACTCCCTAAGTTATTGTATAATCAGCCTTGTACTAGCAAAGATGTAAGGAAATTCACATGCAGACTGCTGGAGTTCTTTTTCTGTGTAGCTTCCTTTCCCCTCAAATGCCAATCCGTCCCCTCAATTCTGCAAGACAGCTGGACTCTGGGTTCCCCTTCATGCCTACATTCCACAAAAAAATGCCTGCAGGTAGAGATGTAGGGCTCATTTCCCTTCAAACAGGATTAATAGTCCTTTGCTGCCCGTTGTTCAGTGTCTGAAAAACAGTACCTTCATGTATTTTGGCCAGTTTTCCAGTTGTTAAGTCTGGTCCTTGTTACTCTATTGTGGCTAGAAGTGGACATCTGGGAGCCTTTAAAAAATGCTTATTTTCTCTAGTCCCAACTGAGACTGACAATCCAATTCTCTAGAGTAGGCCAAATCCAGGCTACCGTTTATTTTTGTATGGCTGGCAAGCTAAGAATGGTTTTGGTATCTTTTTTTTTTTTCTTCCCTTTTTTTTGTCTTTTTTCGTGACCGGCAATGGATCGCAACCCTCAGTGTCACGCCCGTACCGGACCGGGACCGGCAACGGGATCGCAACCCTTGGCGCTGCTCCCGCACCTCGCTCAGCCAGTGAGCTGCCGATCTGTATGTGGGATCTGAACCCTCGGCGGGAGCGCCGCCGCACTCCAAAGCGGCGCACTGTAGCAGTGCGCCACCGGGCTGGCCCGGTTTTGGCATCTTTAAAGGATTGTAAGAACACACAGAGAAATACGTGACAAAGACCATGTGTGACCCACAAAGCCTAAAATATTTACATTAGCCCTTTATAGAAAATGTTTGCTGAATCCTAATATAGAGGAAGAGTCGGGGAACCTGATTTTTAAAAAGCCTCAAAAGTGACTGTAATGTAAAGATTTCAATAGTTGAAGGACCAGTATTTGGAATTTATTAGTGTAGTGGGAAGATTGTGATCTTTCTCTGGAGCCAGAGAGACCTGGGTTTTACTTCATGACCTTGGATAACTGCTCTTCATTGTTTCTTCAGTTGTAAAATAGGAACAACTGATGTGCAGGAATGAAGATGAGAGATAAACTATTCAGGTAAAGTACCTATGTCTGGTACAGCATAGACCACCATAAATGGTTGTTTTTAAATTTAAATTTAAATTTATTGAGTAAAAAGTATTCAATATCTAACTCTCTCCTTTTTCTCATTAGTTGGGTGCTTCTGGTCAAAGTCACAAAGTGTACTGACTATTTCCACTAAAAGTTAACCTCCCCACATTCCCACCTGTACCAAACTTTTCCCACTATTCTCAAGGCCCCTGATATATCTCTTTCTCCCTTTCTCCAGTAGTGACCATTTTATCCACTCAATGGATTAGGACCATGTAACATAAACCCTCTCAACTTTCCATCTCACTTTCTCTTCTGAAGTTAATCATTCCATCAGTATACCTGAACATATATTCTTACTGGGACTGTAATTTTCGCCATCAATTATCAAATACTTTTTTTTCCTCATGGACCCTTCCTTTACTTACACACATGCATAAATTGCCTCTACTAAAAAAAAAAAAAAAAAAAAAAGTAAATTTGCAACTTAACATTCCATATTACTTTTTTCAAGTTTTCAATGAACTTTTGTCTTCTCTGACTATACTTCACCATGTCCCTTACTCTTTACCTGCAAATTTGGTATCTGTCTTCATAATTTATTATACTTCTGAAAGATCTCCTAAACTCCAAATCGAAAGCCCTTTTATAAGGAAGTATTCATAATAATAACTCTTTATCTTATCTTACTGAAAAACTCTCTTGATTTGGAATCTGGGATATTATATTCTCTGGCTTCCCAATCCAGTCTAAACAGAACAGTGAGTTTAATCCTCCTAATGTAAAGATCTGACAGGTTTATGCCTCAAATATCTTTAAAGGCTACCCACAGCCTAGGCAATTAAATTTATAAACTCTGTAGCTCAATTCTCAAAGCACTCTCCAACTCTAGCTTTCCTAGCCTTTATCCCACTTCTCCTAAGTATTCCCTTTACTCCAGCCATGATGGTTACTTGCTATTCTTCAAACATTCCCAGTGCTTTACTATCTCCATAATTATTATTTTTGCCTTATTTTCCTGCTTTCAAAGTTTAGCTATTCTTTAAATCCCAGTTCAAATTCCACCTCCTTCATGAAACCAGCTAGTTGTGCACTCTCATATATCTCAAGTATCTGTAGATAAAGAATTAACAACATTCCTGCTTTATGGACGAATGTGACCTTGGGTTTTCTAGCTATGTTCCTGAGGAGACATAATGGTGAAACGCATTACTAGACAAGATTGTGTATGGTAAAAATGACCCCTAACTGGTAAATTATGCTTAGACTGGTAGAAACTATAACTACCTAGTGGGAAGACATGGCCTTATGCTTGTCTGCATTCAGTGACTCCTGTAACCATGGCCTATCTCTTACAGGGACCTAAAAATTGTGTCTATGGAGTTAATACAAGAGATAATGGCTCCTGTTGTACATGAAGCTTCTAAGCAGGGCAGATCTTGGACTTACCTAAGTCTTGTCTCTTGCATCTGAGCTATCGTGTTCAGAGAATAATTCTTGGATTGATGCCACAACGACTACCCCCATGGAAGAGAAACACTTGATGATGTTGTGTTGGCTAGCTATTCTCTGTGCCCTGTATGCTTGTGAGTAAACTGGTGCCAAGTGTGACCTCTTCAGGTCTTGTGAATCCAAATATTTGATTGAGTCTAGAAAAGTCCTTTTGACAGGCATCAGAGATCCATTATTCTGCTTACAGTTACTCATTTTGTGGAACTCTCTAATCCCCTCAAGATCTTTGAGGTTAAAACCTTGTCTTTTTCATCTAGCAAAGTTTCTGGTTTTGCTGGGTGAATCACTTGAAAATTTGAATGTATTTTTTCACCATTAGGAGAGGAATAATTATTACCTGTCTCAAAGGGTTATTACTGTGATTAAGATGTGAAAATGTTTCCTAAGCAGTAAAATGCTATTTGGTAATACTAATATCATTATGTTAACATATAAATTAATATTCTTTCTTCTAAAAGTATGCCTACAAATATGATAATATTTATTAAACAGTTCATACATTAATCCTGATTTTCATTCCAAACTTCAAATTAATAAAAACAGTTTGATAAAGGAAGGCCATCCTGATGTAAATCTAATGTCATACTAAAAAAACTACCCTATCCTCTTTCCTCCAACCCAAAGTCTGGCCTGCTTTTAGGACAGTACAAAATCATTTGCTCATCCATTAAGTTATTCCCTTGCTGAAAGTAAAAGTTAACCACCACTCCTATCCCAAACAATGGGAATAAGAGGCATAACGTGTTTGGGCATTTAGTGAGTAGCTGTAAAGATTTTAAGCTTGAGAACTGGAAATGAAATGAGATAGCTGAAATCTCCTTCTCTCTCCTGAGACCTCTTTGATCAAGCACTAAAGGACAGATATAGCCATTATCAAAAAATATTTTAGAAATTCTCAGGTATGTAAAAAAAACAAAGGTGAATTAGAGAACCAAGAGTTCTGTAATTTGTTAGGCAGATTTCACCTTTACATAGCAGTACAAAATATCATTTAAGCAGAAACCAAACCTGTTTTACTTGTGGTTGGGGAAAAGCCAAACAATCAATACTCCAAATCTCTAACAACTTGGGGACAGTGGTTGTAGCTGGGCCAAACCACTGAAAGAGCTGCATCAAAGACTTTACCTTAACAACAAAAAGGCTCCTTTTCTGTGTAATACTGGATATAGATAAATGTGTCTTTCTCTGTATTTATTCCAGTCCTATTCTTCCTTAAGCTTTTAATGATTCAAAATACTGCTCCCCTTTTTGCTCTCATCACCCAACATCTAGAACCCAGATGTTTTCTCACATTCCTAAGAAAATCCTATTTTCCTCTGTAAGGCCAACACCAGAAACTGTACTGTATCTTACAACCAAGGGATCCCACTCCCTCCACAGTATTTTTCAAAAAATGAAGCCAAGATCATATCTGTTAGATAAATAAAATTATATTAGCAGGACAGGCCAAGGGAAAAACAGGACAATCTGACTTGCTTCTGGATCTATTTCTTTTTCTGAGAAGATTTTAGCTTTAAAATTTTGCTGGGAGGTTAAGAGTTTGAATCCATGTACTGGCCAGCCATTAATTAATTAATTAATTAAAGGCTGATTCACAGTGAAACATTAACTATGACTATACTTAATTCTGTAAAGTATACCAATTTTAATAATCCTTTGGTACAGTGACATTTTAATAATAGTATAATTGTTCTACAGAAAAACTGAGCCCATATATTATTGGCTACTGGTGAAGTGATAACAGCAGAATCAGGGAGTGTCCATATACTCGATGAACGGAAGTACAATATCTGTTCAAGTCCCAACATGACCTCACCTTCTACATTAAAAGCAAGATTACCTTATACTTTTCTGTGGTCTTTCCTTCACCCTTCTAGTGTCCACGCAAGAGTGGATAATTGATATTCAACTGCTGAAGGCTCTGAGGAGGGCACAAGGCCCTCCCAGAAAGAGTATTTGATCAAAGCTAAGGAGCTAACCTGGCTGCTGATGCAGACAAGCTATATCACCAGAAAGTCTTCTAAAATGTTTGCATCAACAGCAGGTACAAACCTTGGAGCTACAACTGGGATTCACTTAATGATGCTGGAATTCAATGTTCACGGACAAAAAAATAAAGAATCACTGAGGGAGAAAATATAACTAAAGAACATTTATTTTTCACTAAGACTTTATCTTGAGGGCAAAACTAAACTGTGTTACCACCCCCTACCCCATCTTGAAGAAGGGTTACTACAGTGAATGTTATAAAGCAGATATGAATAGTTTTGAAGGATTGGAACCAACATTAACTGACAAAGAACTTCCATCTAAATCATCAAAAAAATGTTAAAGTAAAAAAAGGGGGCAAAAGGGGTTTCAGATTGAATAAGATCGTCACATTTCATCTAATACATTCAATCTTGGCTAGAGTATAACAAAACGGAAACAGGATTACTATAATACAAAACTTCCACTACAGCAAGCTGTACATACCTGTGTTCCAAGCCACCCCCAACCCCCTAATGCTTCCAACTCAATTATTTCCCAGCCTGTTGGGCCTGCCGACGAAGGAGCACATAGATCTTCTCTTTAATCCAGTCTTTGTTATAAGGCTGGTATGTCTGGGTATCAGCTCGGTAACTGAGGAACAGAAAGGCAATAAGCAAAGTTACAGTGGTCAATTACTGTCATGTGTTTAAAGCCCCAAATTATAACAGCCCAATGATGGCACAGATATACACATTTCCATACATAAACTTAATGAAAGAGTTGTTTACCTAGCTTTTAAATTTTAAGCTATATAAACTTTAGATCATTTAGCACAATTTTACAGTGGATAAAGAAACCAATGCCTAGAGCTCTTAAGTTAATGCTCAGTATGTTACATATCTACTTCTTGATAGAGTATGACCAGAAACCATGTGTTCTTTCTCCTACATACTTTCCAGTTTTTACGGTTCCTTTAGTGATTAAAGAACAAAAGCCAAATGCTAGTACAAACCTTAGATTTGCTAAATTTATTCTGAATTAACTAACTTTAAAAACATGTTACTGCAACAAAGATTTCTTGATTTTTTTCCCCCAGTATAGTATTAAGAGAAGGAAATCTTATAACCTATATTTTAGGATTTGCTTTTTAATATAATGTTAGAGGCTCATGGAGGAGAATTGTCAGAAGAGATAGTAAGCTCTAAAACACCTGTTATCAGAAGAGAAGGAAACAGCACAAATACTAGCATTAGCAGTAAAACTCCAATGGGACTCTGAGGGTTTCTGGAGCACAAGGATTACTTAATGGCCAATCACTCAGGGTATCTTTACAGGACTCAAAAAAATGGAGAAACTTTCCAGCCAACCTAAACCTGAAATGTAGCTGGTTACGTAAAAAATTCATTTTTGGAGCCCAAAACTAAAGCAGACAATAAGCAACCAGAGACTGTACAAATACAATACACATCACAGTGTTTCAAAGCTTTGTGCACCATCTGCTGGGAACACTGCACTGCATCCAAAAAGAGGTTGAAGATGCGGTTTGCCTTGATGGGTACACTTAGTGTGCCCCCAAAATAACTTAGGGATACCACAGAAAAACACACTATCTAATGTGTCAATTATTGTCTTGTTTAACTAGAAGTTTCGTCTGTTAACTTCATGGCAAAAAAAAGTATACATAAATAAATACAAATGACATTAATATGTTACCAAGAACTAGGTATTGCTTTAAGCGCTTATCTGAATTAATTCACTTATTCCTTTTTACAACTCTTTGAGTAGGTACAATTATTATCTTTTTTATAAACAAGGAAAACAAGGCTCAAAGAAGTGAAGCAACTTCTTAGCTAGGTGATATTGGACAAGTAGTAGAATTTACACACTCCTAACTGTAGAGTCTTCACTGTTAAAACCACTAAGCTAGAAATCTATAATCCAATTTTTGTCAAGGGAAACAAACTCCAAAGTAGGAATGCTTTATACAATTCACATCATATTCTTCCTCTGAATGATAAGGTCAGAATCTGGTTTATTAAAAATGTATAAGCTTTCCATTTTACAAAATGCTTAACCAAATAAAAAGAAACATTTGGCTTTTTACTAATGTCCTTTTGTTACAATGAGAAATATCCTAAAAAGTGAAATAATTTTGCTTGAATATCTTCTGCTCATACCTCCGAAATAAATAAGCTCTCATCTAGTCTACTTTGAAGTATGGCAGAACAAACCACAATTAACACTGGAAAAGACCTAAAAAGGAAACAGAATTTCTCAGAACTATCATATTTGGGTGGGCAGCCTTATATACTTGGACCTTGCTTATTAGTACAGGAGGGTCTAGATTTATGTCAGGAACTCAAGGACAGGGTTTTATTTTTAATTACAAATATGTTAGTTTTTTAAAATTTGCCACAAGTAGAATTACATGAGCTCAAATTTCCATAAGTGAGATAAATTGTACTGTTAACCAATACAAATGTGTTTGGTTTTTTTTTTGATAGGTAAAAATTACACAAAGTAAAAAAGTGGTTGTAAGGGACATACCACAAGTATGCTATTAATCTTTGAACATAACTTTTCTAACTTTGTGCTACTAAATGTAAACCAGAAACCACATCTAGAATGCTAAAATGATTTCTTTCTTTCTTTTTTTTTTGTCTTTTTTAGTGACCGGGAAGGGGATCGCAACCCTTGGTGTGGTGTCGCCCACACCGCACTCAGCCAGTGAGCGCACTGGCCATTCCTATATAGGATCCGAACCCGCGGCGGGAGCATCGCTGCGCTCCCCGCGCCGCACTCTCCCAGGTGCGCCACGGGCTCGGCCCCTAAAATGATTTCTAATATTTGTATTATTAAAGAAAAATAGGGGAAAGACTTCTTTAATAATTACCTAGATAATTCCTTCCAGCTATGGTAGTTCAGGCAGTATAGAAGAGAAATTAATAGCAAGCTATAGTTATTAATGGTCTGTCTGAAAAGCTGCAAGCTGTAGTTATTTATGTTTCTATTTCTAATGTTGAAAATTTGGGGGCCTCTGAAAACTTTCAGAATCAAATAAGGATTTAGAACCACTTTTCCCACATGACTGTGGTTATGTCCCTCTTATTATTTGAATATTCAGGAGAAATAAGGTAGGTAACCAAAGAGGTTACCTACTGCCATGGTACTTCCTGTGACAGCACATGCTGCTCCTCTCTTTAATCAAGGATTGTTATTTGGGTATTACTCCTCAGACCAGAGACTGAGTCCATTTTTGGTTTGTAAACTGTTGTGTACTCACTACTCCTACTACATTTACATGGCAATGACCTAAGACTTACAAATTAATTAAAAAATAAAAAACCCCACAACAGTATAGGAGGAAATGCAATAAATAAAGATTCTACTTTGTGACACGACTAACCCCAGAGCAAACTGACCATGTATTAATAATAAAGTTTAGGCATGGAGAATTTTTATTTCACATATTTAAAGCCAGAGTATGATTTTTTTCAATTTTCTGATCTGTAAGTTTTTTCCATAAGATGAAAATACAGCCTTTTGAATATGCAGGCTTTCCTTATTTGCTTAGAGAAAAAAGGGACCTGTTCATCCTCAGTTACCATAATGAGGTACTCCTAACTAGGAAGGCAACTCGGTACTAGTGAAGACATCGTGATTTCATTGATCAAACCCACAGCTTCAGTTCTTGTATAAACCCGCGTTCACTGACCATAACAGTAGGCTAAAAGATTCATCTGCCAACAGCTAGGAATTTTATTAATATACTTAACATTTATTGTCTCATTTTCAAGTACCAGTTAATAGCTGTCAACACACAGCTTTCCATAAGGAAGGCTATTCATGAGTTGGCTATTGCATGACTTGGAAAATAGCATGCAAGTTGATGGATTCCTAAATGTTCACAAGCCAGAATGATCTTGGGGGTGGGGGGCACACAACAAAGTCTAACTAAATAGGGCTGCCCCACCCAGATATGATAGTTCTGAGAAATTCTGTTCCTTTTTTTACTTTTTTTTATAAAATCACGAAAGCCACCAATTTAAAAAATAAAATCAATAATTCATTTAAAGAATTAAGTGAGGGTATGCATATGAACTCTGTTAAAATCTTAAATTCCAATTCAAACATCAGTTAGTTTTTAAGTTCAGGTGTGAAAATTTCCCAACACAAATACACCTAGGACAAAAGCATATATATACATATATATATATATATATATACATATGTATATATATATATACATATATATATGTATTACCAGAATTTCATCAGATAAATAACTTCAAGCTTTCTAACATAAGAGACTGAAAAATTTAGCATGAAATATATTAGAGTTTCACTTTTGTTTAGGTCATCCTATCAATTCAGAATATAGCTCTGTAATGAAAACAAGAGAAGGAAAACTACGAATAATTTTAAAAAGCGATGCCTCAAATATTATATGGTTGACATGCATTTATACAACCAATATTTACTCAGCACCAACTACATGCCTGATACTATTCTAGGTACCATGGATACAGCAGTGAACAAAAACAAAGCTTCCTGTTCTTAGATTAAATTCTAGCAAGCATATACAGTCATCCCTCAGTATCCTCAGGGGATTGGTTTTAGGACCTCCTGTTGATACCAAAATCCATGGATGCTCAAGTACCTGATATAAAATGGTGTAGTATTTGCTAATAACCAACGCACATCCTCTCATATACTTTACTTATAATACCTAATAGAAAGTAAATTGTATTAAATAATTGTTACACTTTATTGTTAGGGAATAATGGCAAGAAAAAAAATCTGTACATGTTTAGTACGGATGCAAATTTTTTTTCTAATATTTTCTATCTGTGGATGGTTGAACCCAGGGATAAGGAAGGCCGACTGTATACACATTACTGGTGATTTTACATCCAGTAGATGATCCTGTCAACACCTAGGCCTCTCAATTACTTGAACTCCTCTCCTCTAATGACCTCGTCTCCTACCATTCATTGGCCAGATCCCTACACCTTGTCAGTCAGCATTTTAATCTCTCAGTTCCAAGCACCTCATTCCCTAATCAGTACTTCCTAATACTCCAACTTCAGCAATCCTTTTACTCGGTGGGACCTACAATTAATTGGTTTACCTGTCTCCAGTGCTCCCTTCCACCCCTATTACATTTCACAGTCATTCAGTCCTTTGCATACACCTTCAACCTTTAGCAAAATCTTTGCTAACTCTCTACCAACTCCTTACCTGTAGCCATCCGGGTTAAGAGTGACTAGAAAAAAACCCCATGATCACAATGACTGATTTCACTTTAAATTCATTATCAAGTACCTCAGAGAACACTTAATGTATCCCAGAAATCACACATATCCCTAATCCTTTCATCTTCCTAGATTATTTCTCCACAAACCTGCAGCACCCCCCCAATTTCAAATGGTGTCCTTAATTCCTATTTTCCTGAGGTAACTGAAGCAATCAGAAAATAATTTCCCTAAGCCCCCACATTTGCCTGCCCTCCCTACTTTACTACTAATGAACTGTCTAAGATCCTATCTAAAGCCATTAATTTCTCTTGCTCTACTAGATCATTCCATGAGCCGGCAAGCTTATCATTATCTCTCCCACCTAAACAAATTTTTACAAAGCTATTTCCTCTTTTGGCCATAACGCCATCTCTGCTCTTTTGAGCAAATTCAAAAAAGTTGTATTAGGGCCGGCCCGGTGGCGCACTGCTACAGTGCGCCGCTTGGGAGCGCGGCGGCGCTCCCACCAAGCGTTCGGATCCCACATACAGACCGGTTCCCGCTCACTGGCTGAGCGAGGGGCGGGTGCAGCACTGAGGGTTGCGATCCCGTTGCCGATCCCGGTCCGGTACGGGCGCGACACTGAGGGTTGCGGTCCGTTGCCGGACACGAAAAAAGACAAAAAGGAAAAAAAAAAAAAAAAAAAGTTGTATTAGCTGCCTATAATTCCTCTCTTATTTCCTTAAACTCACTGAAATCTGTGAAGATCGTACTCCTTTCACCCTACTAAAACTGCTTTGGAGCTCACCAAAGACTTCCACAGGGCCAAATCCAGGCGTCAATTCTCAATCCTCATTTATTCAACCTATCAATTAACATTAAACACTTCTGCACTGGATATCACTGCTCCCTGCTTCTCCAATGTCCTACTACTCTCCCCCTCCACTCACTCCTCTGCAGCCTCACAGGAGGCCTTACTAACTCCAAACATGCCAAGCACACTCCTGCTTCATGACTCTTGCCCTACCTGTCCCGTCCCCTCTGTCTGCTAAGTTTTTCCTATAGATATCTGCATGGCTTATTCTCTCACCTAAGTCTGTGATCAAACATCACCATTTCAGTGAACCATTTCCTAGCTACCCTAAGTAAAACCGCAATCCACCTTCCAGACTCTCCTTATCCCCCCATCCTTACTCTATTTTCCTTTTTGGTACTTAATTCCTCCTAATTATGATTTACTTGTCTATCTTGGTATGTCTCTACCCACTACTACATAAGAATCGAGATTTCTGAATCTGTTTTATTCACTGCTGAATTCCCAGTGCCTAGAACATGCTTGTTATACAGTTGACATTCAATAAATATCTGTTGAATGAACACACCTGGTCTCATTGTGTGTGAGATATATATATATATATCTCTGACTATACCTAGATTAACTATAGACATTACAAACTAATATAGCAAAATACCTGCAGCTCTGTTGGCCTCAGATTCCTGAGCTTATTTATATTTAAATAATTATAATAAAAACTTTTCAATTAAGATATTTCATTAAAGACTAGAACTGAATCACTTTAATGTTTTGAGTGAGCAAAATAAAATTGCAATAATTGAAACACAATGAAGAGGTACAGAAAACAAAACTCAAAAATCCCAAGGAAATGCCTGTTTTCACCAGGAACCTTTGGGGAGACTGCAAGGTGCAGCCAGGTTCCAGGCTTAGCTCTAGCGGTGACCCATAAAGTGCCTGTTTTTCACCCCTTCTCCCTCAACTTCTAACACAGTGCCTGGCATGTAATAAGTACTCAAGTACCTATGATTGAATATCATCTCATCATAAACTGCATCCATTTTCCTCTGTAAAAAGAGTTGTATTTATACTTAGTTTCTGCTCACAATGTTGAGAAAGATTAAGTCTATAATACTTATGCTCCTTGGTAGTAGTGGTAATAAGTGGATTATCAATACAAATTATTACAACAAATATGTTAGAAAAAAATTTAATCTGAAAAATCTCTGAGAAAACAGTCTAAAAATATCTCACTCTAATAAACATGTTTACACAGGCTAGGATTAAAATTAAGTTAAATTTCAGCCCCATATAAATATTTAAAGTTTTAAAATGCCATGAACAGAGAATAATTTTAGTTTTACCCCAAAGTCAATTGCTTTAGGACAAAGACCATAAGGGGGGTTAAAAAACTAAGAAAAATATTATTAGGTATAAGGAACAAAGAATCAGGACATGGAACTTCTTAATTAGCATCCTCTCTGCATACTAACTGTATCTATTAGCAAAGTTCTTAAGATGTTCTTATGTCTTTGGCTCTATGCTGCCAAATTAATTTATGATCTACATGTAAGTGAAATATTAATTACCATATAGTACTCAAAATGCAAAGACCAGTGTCAGACACACAGTGAACCCCAATACCACAAATCACCTCAAACAGACAAACAATAGAAAAACACAAGTTAAAAGATATGGTGGCTAATACTTACACAAGGCAGCTGAGGTCTGCCAGATCATCGATAAAATCAAACAACTGACTGATGTCGTATGTGATGGAGGGACTGTTGGGATTCATTCTCTTCAGATGTTCTTCATACATTTTACAAACACCTAAGAGAGGGGGAAAAAACAAGATCTTACAATCGCATAAACTTCTAGATGAGTAGTGCTATATACTGATGTATTTATTTTAATAAAGTTGGACTGGGAAAAGAATGGTAGGTTGATCACTTTTGTTTTAATCATTGCCATTAGTAAAAATTTTTTTATTTTATAAATTCACCAGAATGTTGGTAACTATTTTGTGCCTTAATAATAAAATAAAAAGATTACTTCAAACCACTGGAGCTAAAGAGACTTTAAGGATTTGTCATCTGATGATTCAAAAAATGACAACCCTGTAGGTTTTACTATCAGATTTTTCAGTAAATCTTGCTAAAACCACAGAGTAAATAAAGAAAAATATCATACTGTGGAATAATGGGTGGAAAATGAATACTTTCATATTCTACCTTTAAATTCTGATGCAATGAAAAAAAAATCACAATAAAAATTGGCAATGAGGGAAGAGATTACCCTGATAGGGTACTTAAGATCCTGGACTCTGGATTCAGACAAACCTTATTTCCAACTCTGCCCTTTATTAATCATGAAACCTTGGGCAAATGACTCCATCCCCTGAACCTTACCTGTCAAAGAGAGATAACAACAGAACCTCTTCACAGAGTTGTGTGGACTACATGAAATAATGCATATAAATCATTAGCACATGTAGTAAGCATATAAAAACTGAAATATAAGTAATAAAATGAGCAAAATCACTCACACTATTAACGTAATTATCTAAAGAGCATATTACCTATTTAATTTTTATTCAGTGAAACATTCCTCTTATTCTTTTTCAGGAAGAGCACCTTTTCAGTCCCTTCCCACTATCAACTACTTTTGAGAGTATAATGATGAATGGACAAGTGACATAAATGTTCGTTTTCTGGGGAAAACATGTCCTATACTGTACACACAGGCCCTTTATGTACCTCTAAATTAACTTCATTAATTTAATAAAAAGCAATATTCAACCATAATACTATCAGACAACTATCTTAGGGTTTTTGACTGCTATTGGTATACGACATTGTGATCACAAAATATCACTCATGAGTTACTGAATGGAAAGGAAATAAAAAACCAGGAAAGTAAATTCACCTTTTTTTTTTTTGGCAGCTGGCCAGTACAGGGATTCAAACCTGTGACCTTGGTATTATAAGACTGCACCACCTCTCATTTTAAAAAGGCATTAACCCACAGCTGCCACCATACTTAATGGTGAAAGACTGGATGGTTTCCTGTTAAGAACAGGAAGAAAACTGGAATATCTACTCTTGCCACTTCTGTTCAACATTGTACTGGAAGTTCTAACCAGGGTAACTAGGCAAGAAAAAGAAATAAGAGGTATTCAGACCGAAAAGGAATAAATAAAACTATCTTTATTCACAAATGACATGATCTTATAGATAGAAAATCCTAAGGAAACCACCAAAGAACTATTAGAATTAATAAACGAGTGCAGCAAGGTTGTAGGATATAAGAACAATACATGTAAATCAATTTTATTTCTATACCCTAAGAATAAACAATTTTAAAATGAAATTAAGAAAATTCCATTTACAACAGCATTAAAAAAGAATAAAATTCTTAGAAATAAATTTAACAAAAAAGCTTAAGACTTGTACACTGGAAACTACAAGATGCCATCGAAAGAAAAGGCCTAAATAAATGGGAAGGTATCCCAGGTTCATGAACTAGAAGACTTTAAGATGGCAATACTCCCCAGAATGATCTGTGGATCCAACACAATCCCTATCAAACTCTGAGTTCCTTTTGCAGAAATTGAAAAGCTGACCCTAAGTTTTACATGAAAATGCAAGAGATCCAGGAAAACCAAAATAATCTTGAAAAAGAACAATGATGTTGGAGGACTCACACTTCTCAATTTCAAAACTTACTACAAAACTACTATGATCAAGACAGTGTGGTATTGGCAAAAGGATAGGCATACTGATCAACGGAACAGAAATGAAAGTCCTGAAATAAACCCTCACACTTATGATCAATTGCTTCTTGGGAAGGGCACCAAGATAATTTAATAGAGAATAGTCTTTTCAACAAATGGCACTGGATAACTGGATAGTCACATGTAAAAGAATGAAACTGGACCCATATCTGACATTATATATAGAAATTCACTCAAAATGGGCCAGAGACCAATTAAGAGTCAAAGCTATTTTAAAACCCATAGAAGAAAACAGAGGCATTAATCTTTGTGACCTTGGACAGGGCAATGGTTTCTTAGTTATGATACCCAAAGCATAGGAAACAAAATATATACAAGGTACTTCAAAAAGTCCACGGAAGGGCCGAGCCCGTGGCACACTTGGGAGAGTGCAGCGCTGGGAGAGCAGTAGCGCTCCTGCTGCAGGTTCGGATCCTATATAGGGATGACCGATGTGCTCACAGCGCTCTGGCTGAGCGCGGCGCGGCCGGTCTCAAAAAGGACAAAAAAAAAAAAAAAGTCCATGGAAAAATAGAATTAAGAGATAATATGACTCCGTGAACTTTTTGAAGACCCCTCATATAGACAAATATACATAAAAATTGGACTTCATCAAAATTAAAAACTCTTGTGCTCCAAGGGATACTATCAAGAAAGTGAAAAGACAATCCAGACTGAGAGAAAATCTCTGCAAAACACAAATCTGGTAAAATACTGGTATCCAAAATATACAAAGAACTCCTAAAACTCAACAATAACAACTCAATTAAAAAGTGGGCAGAGCTCTGAACAGGCACCTCACCAAAGATGTACAGATGGCAAAAAAGCATATGAAAAGATGCTCAATGCCATATGTTATTAGGGAATTGCAAATTAAAACAGTGAAATACCACTATACACCTATTAGAATGGCTAAAATCTAGAACAGTGACAAGACCAAATGCTGCCAAGGATGTGGAATAACAGTAACATTCATTCACTGCTGGTGGGAATGCAAGCCAAATGATATAAGTACTTCTGGAGATAGTTTGGTAGTTTCTTATGAAGCTAAACATAGTCTTTACCATATGATCCAACAATCATGCTCCTAGTTGTGTACCCAAATGAACTGAAAACATAGGTCCACAGAAAAACTTGCACAAAAATGTTTGTAGCAGCTTTATTCATAATTGCTAAGACTTGGAAGCAACCAAGATGTCCTTCAACAGGTGAATGAATAAACAGTTAATCGTATAATGGAATAATATTTAGCAACAAAAAGAAATGAGCTATAAAGCCTCAAAAAAACATGAAAGAATCTCAAAAGCATATTGTTAGGTGAAAGAAGCCAATTTGAAAAGGCTATATACTGTATAAATCCAACATGACATTCTGGAAAAGGCGAAACTAGAGACAATAGAAAGATCAGTGATTGTCAGGGGTTTAGGAAGAGGGAGAGAGGTATAGGTGGAACACAAGGATTTTCAGGGCAGTGAAACTATTCTGTATGATACAGTAATGGTATATACATGTCATTATACATATGTCAAAACCCACAGAATGTTCAAAGCAAAGAGTGAGCCCTAATGTAAACTATGAACTTTAGTTAATAAGTGTCAGCTATTAGTTCATCATTTGCAACATATGTATCACACTAATACAAGATTTAGTAACAGGGAAAACAAGCGAAGTGGGGAGAGAAGAAGGAGTATGTTGGAACTCTGTACTTTCCAATTAATTTTCCTATAAATTAAAACTGCTCTGAAAAAATTAAGTCTATTAATTATTTTTAAAGAGTGGGAGATTAAGGAGGAAAAGCTCTGCCTTACAGAGAGATATTAACAACTATAAGAAAGAAAAATAGAATAAGAACACTACCATTTGGCAACCACCATGTGAGAACCGATTCAGTAATTCTGTTTTAATATTTTTAGTTTCAACTTTTTAAACAGAAAATAATCGTTTCTGGTTTTAAAAAAAGAAAGTAAAAAGGAGCTATGAAAAGACATGGAGGAAACCTAAATGCATATTGTTAAATGAAGGAAGCCAGTCTGAAAAGACTGCATATGGTAATGATTCCCAACTACATAACATTCTGGAAAAGGCAAAACTATGGAGACAGTAAAAAGACCAGGGGGTGCCAGAGGCTTGGGGGGCATGGGAGGGGGTAAGAAGGAATGAATAGGTGGAGCACAGGGGATTTTTAGGGCAGTGAAACTATTCTGTATATATTTACTGTATGTAACAGTGGAACCATCATGCATGTAGCAAAACTCATAGAACTGCATGTACAACACAAAAAATGAACCCTAATGTAAACTAGAAACTGTAGTTAATAATGATGTATCAGTGCGTCAATACTGGGTCATCACTGTGACAAATGTACCACACCAATGCAAGATGTTAATAATAATATGGGGAACTGTGTAGGGGTAGGGAGAGGAAATAACATGTGAACTTGCTGTAGTTTCTGTTCCACTTTTTATAAACCTAAAACTGCTCTAAGAAATAAAGCATATTAAGTTAGTTAGGCTTTACTAAAATCATCAAAGGTTTGTAAAGGGTACTGCAGAATCAATGACCAAATATGATAACATAGGTGAGGTAACAATCTCCTAAGGGAGCATATACACAAAGTCCACCTTAACAGTAGGTAAGGATGTGAGCAGAGGAATGGACCTGAAGGGAGATAAAGAAAAAATGCTGCAATGGGTTGAATGTCCTCCCAAGCTCTTGTTGGAGCTTAATCCCCAATATGGTATTTGAAGGTGGAGCCTTTAAGAGGTGACTGGAGGGCCGGCCCGTGGCTCACTCGGGAGAGTGCGGTGCTGATAACACCAAGGCTGCGGGTTCGGATCCTATATAGGGATGGCCAGTTTGCTCACTGGGTGAGCGTGGTGCTAACAACACCAAGCCAAGGGTTGAGATCCCCTTACCGGTCATCTTTTTTTTTTTTTAAAAAAAAAGAGAGGTTACTGGACAATGAGGGCTATGCCCTCATGTAATGAATTAATCCATTTATGGATTAATGGGTTAATGGATGAATGAGTTATCACCACAGTGGCAATAGTGGCTTTATAAGAAGAGGAAGAAGCACATTAGCAGGAAGAAGCACATTAGCACACACTTCTGCCTCCCTCACCAAGTGATATCCCGCACCACCTCTGGACTCTGCTGAGAGTCCCTACCGGGAAGAAGGCCCTCACCAGATGTGCCCTCTTGACCTTAGACTTCCCAGGCTACAAAACTATAAGAAATAAATTCCACTTCTTCGTAAATTGCCAAGGTGCAGATATTGTTATAAGCGACAGAACACACACTAATAAAAGTGCCTTGTTCTTCTTTAAAAAATTAAACAGAAGTAGATGGCAGCCTGGAAGGAAAGGCGCCAGCTACCTAAAAGCTATCTCTGATTATTTCAAATAGCTTTTTTCCACAGATCTATCCATTGTTGGCTTTACATGGACAGATTTTAAGTCTATCCCAGTTAGTTTTGAATAATCAACAGATTGAGGGACATGCCCAGGAGCAGAAACAAAGTGACTATAAAATCTTCACAGGAAGAAGTAAAGAATGGACAATTTGCTAGAAAGGATGTGGGACATGCACAACTGGTTTACTAGACATAATGATTAAACAAAAGAATAAATCCAATTTATGAAGATCTAATTTATGTGCTCTTATCTAATGGTTTACTTAGTAAAAGAAACTTTAGGGCTAATAGTTCCCTCAAATACACAATAGATAATACTAATTTGGTTGCATTTGTCTTCATTCTCTGAGCTAACTTCTATTTTCTAACAACATTCTGATAGGCTGTGACCAAATCTCAACATCTTTTAGCATTTATTTGTTTAATTAGCAGACTATTAGATTAAGAAGGCATCCCCAGAGCCTGCCTTAACAACTCTATAGTGCTTGAGTTTAACCAGAATATATAAGGGATACCTGTAAAATATTTACATAATATAACATAGTAACCAAATAACACATAACAGAATATTTATAAAACAATGTAAAATCATTCCCTATATATGAGCTTGATAAAAAAAAAAAGTAAAATTTGCAGCAGGAAAAGACAGTATATATACAACTAATGTTTGAAATACACAACAAATATGGTCTACTTGCCCTGCTCAAATTAATAACTAAAGAAATCTGGAAGAAAAAGCAAATCTGGTTCCTAAAAGAAACATATTTTAGGGCCGGCCCGTGGCTCACTTGGGAGTGTGTGGTGTTGATAACACCAAGGCCATAGGTTCGGATCCCTATATAGGGATGGCCAATTAGTTCACTTGGGAGAGCGTGGTGCTGACAACACCAAGTCAAGGGTTAAGATCCCCTTACTGGTCATCTTTAAAAAAAAAAGAAAGAAAGAAAGAAAGAAACATATTTTAATAATAAATGCCAGTGAAAAAAATAACTCAAAAATTTCTACTCCTTGATTAGTGCTAAACTCACCTTCCATGCATTCATTCACAGACTCATAGTCAGCGTAAGTTCTGCCTTCTGGCCTTTTGGTAGGCTGTACCAGTAAAATGGTGTGAGACTGCAGGAGGAAAAAGTGATTTTAACATAAGTTTCTAACTTTTACCTAAGAAATTCACAGTATGATATAAAATCCCCATTCATAACACAATAATCATTGTTAGTTATTAAAACAACTAGTAAGGGTGCTCTTCCTACAAAATTTATGCCTTTGCCCAAGTGTGGTATCAGAAGCTGGATTCACAACTCCTTTGTAAGATCTCCTTTAGTCTCCCACTCCTTGACTTCTTTCGCAAACTCCTATTGCACTTACTGCCTGCAAGCACTCAGCACAAGCTCCCTTTTTTAAAATATTTTTTCTTCCCAACTGTGTTATAAACCTGCTTGGTTTTCTGTTTCCACTGGTCACTTTCTATCTCTAGCCCTGTTAAGTCCCTAATAAAAACTCAGATACGGGCTGATGAAAGGAGAGAAAAAGAGAAACACTATAATCACTGCAAGCACTGTTATCAGTCTATGTTCTTTTTCCAACCTTAGCACAACAGTGGAGTCACATTTTATAAGAGGTTAGGCTCTTAACATTAAGGTGTAAGATAAACTGGCAATATAAAAATGAAATACATAGTTAACATTACTCTAAAAAAATCCTTGCCTTAAGCAGCTATCTAGTACCAAAATCACATATTTTTAAATACAAAATGGTTAGATGATCACACTATAAGAAATGTAAATATGCCCGAAGAACAACATATAGACTTATGTCTTCCATCTCATGCTTGCTGGGGGGCATGTTTTTGTTAGTGGGTCAATTTCAGGGTTTCTCAACCTTGGCACTATTACATTTTGGGCTAGATGATTCCTTGTTATGGGTGGCTGTCCTGTGCATTGTAGGATGTTTTGCAGCATCCCTGCCCTCTGCCTACTTGATGCCAGTAACACCCTTCCTCCCAAAGTTGTGACAACCAAAAATGTCTCCAGGCATTACCAAATGTCCCTTGAGGGACAAAATCTCACCCAGCTGAGAATCATTGATCTACTGAAATTATGTCCCCAGTCAATTTTTTGCCATATGTAGAAGGCTGATTAATTAAACACAATCATGATGCTGCTCCACCGAAAATCCAATCCCAAATCAAACTATTCACAGTTTTTCTTCTTTTGCTGTACTAGTAATTTTTTAGCTAAAAAAATAAAAAATAAAAATCTCATGATGACAGAATCTCCCCAAACTGTTTTGAAATGATGGGAACTTCTAGCCATCAACAAATTGGAACTGAAATAGTTGATGCCTAGACTTTCTGAATAAATAACAAAAAAACAGTACTTTGAACACGATATGCAAAGGGTCATCATACTACTCCCTCCCCATGAAGAAATGAGTCACTTTGATTAAAAGTTCGAGAGAGTTTGAGATAAAAATAGAACTTGGTGACAGGAGATGGAGGATAATCTCTCACCTATGATGAGCTGAACACAGTCAAAGCCTTTGTTAAACAGTGATTAATAGAGAAAGTATCATACAAGAATGTTATATAGAAGTTTCTATAAGCCAGCTACTGAAAAAAAGCAGTTTCAAATGATTATTGAGAAGAAAACTTTATAAATCACACTAACAGTGGAGCTTGCCACATACACTAGCTATACCAGTTGCTACTATATTACTTTTGTTCTCCTTTCCATGCAAATGAAAGGACTAATTCATTTGAAAAGGTAACACATGGAAATAGCCATACAGCTTTTTAGATCAGGTGTTAAAATGAATTCATGGGCACTTTACTTTTTTCAATACTTACTGCTCAAAGACCAGGATTAAAAACTGCTAGGAATAAAATACTGTAGTCAAAATGGTTATTATTTTTAAGTGGAAGCACTTCCCTATTACCAATTTTTTAAAGACCATAATACCTCCCAAACCACTTTTGGTCACTTTCTTCTTATTGGAGCTGTTTTCAGAACCCCCTGGTTTTATTAAAAATCCAAATATACTTGTCATATTAGTTTTTTCCTTCTGGACAGATTTCATCCTTTCCTTCCTTCTGGTCCTTTCTCAGAGGAACCAGTACAAAAAAGAAAAAAACCACGACAGAAAAAAAAAAAAAAAATTGTGAAAACCCCAATAAGGAAAAAAGAAAAATATTTATGTAGAATTTTCCTAATAAAATCCTTATTCTCTGATTACCAAGCGGCAGTGATTCGCTCTGATGAAGTTAATCTAGCTTTGCTTAACTTTTTAAAGTCCCACAAACATGAACCCTAAGAACAGTCATTCTGCTATTGCAGAAATATTACAATACTCATTAACTTCAAATGCGTCCCCCAAACTTCAAAGAAAGAGGGAGGGAGGAATTAATTGAAGTTTCTAAACCAATAATCATTCACTTTAAATACAAACTGTAACGTTCAATTCTATCCAGTCGATAAGGAACTATCACTGACATTTGTCCAAAGAGAATGGGTTGTCAATATTCATTGCTGTCACTTTCTCAGATTTTAACCTAAACATCTCAACACAATACCAGAATGACATAAAGGCAGAGAAAGAAGGAAACTCATAGAGGTAGAATGACTTGCCCAAGGTCACACTGCTAGATACGGCAAAACGGGAACTGGAGACTTGGTCTTCTAATTCGTAGTCCTCTTTGGGAGACTACGTTGGGTCAAACACTAAAATATCTCAACTCAGAAAAGTACAACCTGAAAAAGTTCCTTGCTAACAGTAAGTGCGGCAACCAGAAAACGAAAGTGGAAGTATGGAAGTAATCTTGATTTCTCGTAATCCATGTGAGCATCTCCCTTTTGATTAAAAATCCACCACCAGCACCCCAACCACTCCACTACCACTCCGGTCAGATTCTAAGGGACCTGGGCCCTAAGCTGAGCCTATCTTTTCAGCCTCCAACCCCAAAAGAATGTAAATGAGGGTAAGAACAGGACTGAGGGCTGAAACAAATGAGGCACCTAGGGGTCTTAGGAAAGACAAAAAACATTTTTTAAAAGGCAGAGCACAGGAGAACAAAAGGGGACTAGCTGAGAAAGCACACTACAAAGCAAATATGACCTCTCCTCGCCTACGCGCCGGATGCAGTAAGTTGAACGTCAGCTTCGGGGAACGGTTTGTCAGACATCCCTCGGCCATTGTTCCTACAGTAAGCTAGAGCGAATGGAGGAAAAAAGCACCATCCCACGCCTGGCTCCACCAAGAAGCAAACGGGAGAAAGTGTATTTTCAGGCCCACGGCACGCCTCGATTGAGCCAGCAGGCGGGCGCGCAGCCCTAGGGCGGACCCCGGCGGGCCTAGAGGTAGGCCCGACGTCTCCGCGGCGGGAAGGGGAACGGTCCTCCCACGAGCTGGCGGGGCCGCGTGCAGAACGCTCGCGCTGGCGGGGATGGGGGGGGCGGGTATGCGGCTAGGGTCGCCCGGGAGGCTGGGTGCTCGGGTAGCCGCCGGGGCCTCTCTCACCATCGCGCCAAACTCTCTTCGCTTCAGCCGCTGCAGACACCTCGGCCGCACACGAGCTTAGCAGCAACGCCGCCAACAGCCAATCCCCGCGATAGGAGCCGACGGAAATCGTCGGAAGCGCAACGCGAAAGAGTCTTTTGAACCATAGAGGCGAACTTACTTCCGGCAGCTAGAGCAGATACTGACTCTGTTTTAGCCATCTTGGATAAGGGCGATGAGCTAGGTAAGGGAAAGTTTCGGGCGCTTTAGAAAGAATAAATTATTTCATGACTCTGTGTTCCGTACTCACCTTATTAGACATACGGCTTAAGCGATCACCGGTATAGTTAGGGACACCAGTCATCTTTCATCAGCCCTACTTAAAAATGGCGGCAGTTTAAGTATCCCGGACCATAGGTCGGTTGTAACCCGGAAGTTCCCTTCTAAAGGAGGGGGCGGTGAGACAATCCGGAAGTGGATGGAATGAAGAGGTGCCACTTGGCGGCCATGGCCGCTGTAGTATCGGCGGCATTGGGTCGAGGCCCGGCGGAGTGGAGTATCATGGGCAGCACCGGGTATAGGGCAAAGACAGCTTTGTATCAGCTTTGCTGCTGAACCCCAAGGACCCATCGTTAGACACCTGCGGGACTCCTTTCCCCATCCTAGACTTGGAGGGGAGTTTGTCGGGACTGGTGGGCTGGTCCCAGCCTTGGGGGGCGGATCACCCGCGGGGCTGCCTCTGGGAGACAGGGTCGCCGAAAGAAGGAGCAGGTTTGCTTGGGTTTTCCTCCTTTTCCCCTGCCACCTAGGACGTTGTCTGTGGGGGGAGTGGGCCCGTTGTGCCACCTTCATTACGACGATCGAACAGTTATCTCGTTCGCACATTTTCCCCGTTGACTTTTCCCATCTCTGTTAACGCGCGAGAATCCAGTGGCTGGCATCTGAGAACCGAGGGGCTGGGGCCTAAGATTGCTGAAAGTTCTCTCTCTGGTGCTAATAATCAGCAAAAAGGGGCTGTTTCCAGGTACGTTCAAGAGAAAGGTGCCTCGTGAACACACCTGCTGGTGGGAAGGCCGAAAGAACTGGAAAGCCCGCTTGTCTTGGAATCGCCACGCGTGTTTAAAGAACCTAAGCACCTTTTGAAGCCACTGGAAATTTGTAGTCTGGCGGTAAGGAGGGCAGAATGGATGATTTCATCTCCATTAGTCTGCTGTCTCTGGCTATGTTGGTGGGATGTTACGTGGCTGGAATCATTCCTTTGGCTGTTAATTTCTCAGAGGTAAGAAATTCTCAATTTTCTGTCAGCTGGCAGGATGGCTGCTTAGGAAAGCAGTGATAGTTGCAAAGCGAAGCTTCTTCTCTAGCTAATCTCAGAGCCAAAAGTCTGATTAAGGAAGTCTTTTAAAAAGATACATAAGATTTGATAATAGAAACAAACTTCATATTCAGCTCTAGAATTCTTAACCTGGGGTGGGTAGATACTACACTGAAGATCCTGGAGTATTCTTAATCCCCTGAAATTGCATACAGAATTTGAGGCTCTGTGCATTTTTCTCAAGAGAGGCACGATAGCATTTGTTTGGATTCCCAGAGGTTTCAAGGAATCAAGGTTCCAGGTTGTTACCAAAAAAGTAAATGGAGAATATTATTTGTCCATATAAGTTGAAATCAATATGATAACTTCTCTTTTTGAGAAAATCAAGCTTACTATTTTGAGGAAAGCTAAGGGTTTTTTTGGATGCCTGTACTAGAATGAATGTAAGAAAAAAAAAAAAGTGAGATTGTCCTTAACTCACATTTCCTTTTAAAGAAGTAGAGCATTGGAATGGATATTCTGAAGTTGTTTTCAAATCTGTTCGCTTAGAAGTGAATTTTTTGTTAATATGCTTTGACATTTTGGTTAGCTTGATTAGTTGTTATTCCTTAAACAAACATTAACAGGAGAGGATAGATGAAAGCATTCAGTGAAAATGCAGATAGGTTAGTTAGATTGTCATAAAGGGTTCACAAAGTGCATAGTGCTCAAAGATTTAGTGGGAAAAGCTACTACCTTCGGAAAGAACAGGATTTCATGAGTTTGTCTTGAAGTTCAGCAGTAATCTAGGCCCCAGCCTCAATGTCTGTTCTGAAAGTACTTTCAAAGGAAAGAGGGGAGTAGAATGGCCTGAAGTGGAAAGGAAAGGTATAAATGGGATGTGAAGTAGGCCTTGAAGAAACCTGAGAAAGAGGAGGTGCTGCTGGTGAAGAAAATAGCCTGTGGGTGGGAAAGAAGGTGGGACAAGGCATTATAAGTTTGAGGAAAAGTAAAGCCCTCAGCAAGATGGAAGGGAGGCTTGAGTTGTTGCTGCTCCTTTTCAGTTTTCTTTTCTATTTGTACCCCTCAGCATCGAATGATAACTTTTTTTTTTTTATTACATTCATAACTTAATTTCATTTTAAAAACTCGGTGAGGTACAGATGAGAAAACTCACACTCAGGTTATGTAGTCTGGACAAACTCATGAAGTGTATTAGAATCAAGTGGGGGTTTTTTGTCTGTTTTGGTGGCTAGTGGGTACGGGGATGCAAACCCTTGACCTTGGTGTTATACACTGTGCTGTAACCAACCAGCCAGCCCTCAGCTATTTTTTAAATCTAGGTTTTTCTGACTCAGAGCAATTCTTAGCCACTCTGTCCATTGTGGCGAAGTGCATGGTGTATGTACAAGGTAGCCCGTGTACCAGATCCAGCCCACAGATTTACTTTGTTAGATTAGCGAATGTTTAATTTTATTAATTTTTTTGTCTGTATTTTCTGTCAAAGCTACAACTGGGGGGTAGAGCTGAGTGGCAGCTGATTGTCCCAGTCCTTCTTGGCCTGTGAAGACTTTCACTCATTTGAGCTACCAGCATGCCCAGTGCTTTATGAGCCTGCTGTCTTTCCTCTGACATAAACCATATTTTTTATGACTACATTAGAATTGAATTGACATTATTAGGGCTGACATTTGTGAGATTTTGGTTGGTTTGTATATTTAAACACTTATTGAGAGATAACATTTATGAAAATTATAATTAATTCAAATAAGCCACTAGTAAAACTTTTTATTTCTATAAAATGCTTAGAACTTTTCCAGTTTCAGTATTTTCTCAAATTATTTTGAATGATTATTGCAGTATGCAGGTGTATGCTGTTTTCTTTTTCACTGAAAGGAAATGTCTATTATTAGCCAGGTCATTAATAAAAATAATTCGTATGCCATGTCATTTGTGGCTTTCTAAATTGACAGTCAAGTGGTCTTTTCCAGCTGTAAGTCTTAAAATGCTATAAGTCAGCATTCATAATATTTATTATTACAGCAGGAGGAATGTGTTTTTAGCTGTTAATAAAAATAAAAGTTATATATAACTTAGTCAAAGGCATTTTAGAATTCAACTGGTGTTTTCTGTCTGCTAGGTTCTAAACATTTTTTTCCAGACACTTATGCTATTATTATAGGCTAAGGTATTGTGAAACTAGTGAGATGTAAAAATAAGCTTCATTCTTGAGGGGCTGGGAAGCACAATTTCTATCCTTTGAAAATAGCTCCCCAAACTCCTACATTGGCTAAATGACTTTCCTTTTTAAGGAAGTCTAGCTTTTCTTAGGGACTAGTATTATACATAAGAGAAGAGAACCAAGTAAACCTACTTTATTTTACAGTTCACTTTCATTTACATGAAAAGATAGGCTTTTTATTCATGTTCTTAATCTTGCTGATGCTTTGTCATTAAGTACTTTTTTTCAGAATTTCTCAGAGCAGGAGGGCTGGCCGTGGCTCACTCGGCTGATAACACCAAGGCCACGGTTTCGGATCCTATGTAGGATGGCTGGTTGCTCAATGGTTGAGCGTAGTGCTGAGAACACCAAGCCAAGGGTTAAGATCCCCTTACCAGTCATCTTTAAAAAAAAAAAATAATAGAGTAAGTATTAGGGCCGACCAGTGGCTCACTCAGGAGAACCGGTGCTGATAACACCAAGGCCACGGTTTCGGATCCTATGTAGGGATGGCTGGTTGCTCAATGGTTGAGCGTAGTGCTGAGAACACCAAGCCAAGGGTTAAGATCCCCTTACCAGTCATCTTTAAAAAAAAAAAAAAAAAAAAAATTTCTCAGAGCAGGAATAAAAGTCAAATGACCCATAAAACCATTAATTATGGCAAGATTGGTATTTAGAAAGTCAAGTAGTCTGAAATTGCTGTAACATCAAGAGGTTTAGTTGATACTGATTTCTCTGTCACTTTCTCCAACACTTTTCACTCCAAAACCACCTTTCTGGATACTTTCATGACCTTCTTCCTTGCCTTTTGAGCTGGCAACTGTACCTGAAGCCTAAATAATTTATAAAATTATTTTATAAAAGGGAAAATACCGCTGATTTGCAAATGCAGTTACAGTAGTCCCCCATCCGAGGTTTCTCTTTCCATGATTTCAGTTACCTGTGGTCAACCGTCGTCTGAAAAATAGGTGAGTACTGTAAGTAAGATATTTTGAGAGAGAGAGAGAGACTTTTATTACAGTATATTGTTATAATTGCTCGATTTTATTGTTATTGTTGTGCCTAAGTTTTAAATTAAACTTTATCATAGGTATGTGTATATAGGAAAAAAACATAGTATATATAGGGTTCAGTATCTATGGCTTCAGGCATCCACTAGGGGGTCTTGGAATTTCTCCCCCAAGGATAAGGGGGGACTACTATATAAATATATATTATAATCAAGATGCTATTTTTTCAGCATATGAGAAGGAGAAAACTTGTAAAGGAGACCAAAGCATGCTTTACACAAATGAGGTCCTGTCTGGTAAAGGAGGTGGACACACTAGTTTAGCACCATCTTAAGTTTTTATATTCAGTTGCTAATGAGTTTTCTTTGGTACCAAATAACAAGGCTACATAAGTAGGTTGAGAGTCAACGTCATGTAGTATAAACCCAACTTAGCAGCTGCTCTGATTGATGAAAGAAGATATAAACAGATGGCCAAAGTGGGGTTTAGGATTGATTATCTGAGGATTGTTAATTTACCTAAGCATGTCTCCTCTTTGTCACAGAGCTGGTAACAGAGAGCAAGCTGTGTTTGTACAAGGGTTCTAGACCAGTCCTGCCCAAACTATCTGGTAAAGGACCCGTTTTTCTTTTTAATTTCTATTCC